AAGAATACGAGCTGAGTTTCTTGTCAGTTTTTCTCATCTCGAAATCATTCCGAACTGACGGCAGATTTGATATATCATAAGAATCTGTAATAGATTTGAATGAATAAAGATATTTTTAATTTGAATTTGAAATCAGTAATTTTTTAACCAATTAAATAATTGTTTTCCAGTAACTTAATAAAAGAGTTTCATAATCGGTTTGTTGTTTTTCAGATGACGTCAATATGTACCATTGAAATATAATTTAATTTCGTAATAATTTCCCAACCGTTGACCAGCGTATGTCCGTGTATATTTCTAACATAAACAACATACATGCCCAACCAATCTCACTTCGTATTTAGATACCACTTGAAAGCATTGCGTGAATAAGAAATGTAACAGAACTTACCTGAAAGCAAAGGTCGGTGAACTATAGTTAACAAGCAGTGAAGGATAAACAAACATACAGCGATAGTCAGTGATAGAATGAACAAATACATGTGAAACAACGTGGATAGGGTGCGGCGGTACATCAAGCGGAAGCAGACTAGACAATAGATAAATTGTTTTTTTATTACTCTATCCACCTCGACTTCACACGAAAGTGTTAATGAAGAAACTGATATTGGAATCTACCCTTTACATTACAATCATCAATATTAATAATACGCAGATAACTTAAAACTAAGTTTTTGAATTTATTTTTCATATATCTTCTTTAATGATTAATATCATATTTATAAAAACACATTCGCAAATAATGCATTATTTTAGAAGAAATTTGATTACCTTATAAAGCTATAGTGAGTAGTGAGTTAAGCATAAAAAATAGACATATGTTGTCGCGGAGCTGCTTTCAGAACTTTTAGAGGAGAACTATTCTGTCATACGTATCTTTTGCATAACTTTAACCGTTTACGCAGCCCACGCAACGGAAGCACTCAAAATTTATATTTTTAAACATTTTTTTTTGTTTACTGCTCTGCTTGGTCATAGTTTAATATTATATAACGTATAGCACTTAACGGGGTGGAAGATTTTTAAAATCAGAATAGCAAAACCGGAGATTATCCCGAACAAATAAATATACAAACATTACCTCTTTATAATATTAGTATAACTATAAATTAATTTAATTAGTAAAAAAATGATTTTTTGTAAATGATAATAATGTTTTTATAGAAAAAAGTTAAAATTCATAGCGCGGACAATATTAATTGATTGCACTAGGAATGAGTGCGTAGCGGTTTCAATGTTCAATATCATATGCCTCTTACTTTTTATTGTGACTTCTAATGAGTGGTAGAATAAAAAATATGATTATTCCAAAGAGTTTGTTATTTCTATTTTTAATGAATTACACAAAAAATGCAGTCAAATTGAGAAATGAGATGTGAGGCCATACCTTTATGTTTACTCATTTGCTGTAATGACTAGGTGTGATGTAACCTAAATTAACATCAGTGCAATAAGAAATGGTATTTATCTAGTTCATAGCTACATTCATCATATACCATTATATTACGAGTACAGTCATCAGAGTTTTATTACACTCGCCACCGCGATCAGGGTTGGCAGAAATTTATTATATGAAAAAGGAGATGAAATGTAGTATGAATGTATCGTCATTTGTAAAACTTTAATATTGTTTTTTAGGCTGTTGATTAAATATAAATAAATATGACACTCAAAGTTCGTAAAAATGTTACCCCTAAGGGGGTAAAATAAAATGTTTATATGAAAAATCGTCAGTTTTGAAGCTAGGAAGCTAGAACGAGGAAATTTTTTTTCTAGTATTTTTTTTTGTTAGATTATTGAATATTTCTTTATTTGGTCAAAGTCACTATAACACGAGGTTGAAGTTGCGGGCACAGCAAGTATATATTTAATCAATAGTCTAAAAAATAAGTTTTAAGCTATTGGCTTTAAAAATGACGATACTTCGATACAAACTTTCAACCACTTACGACTCATTTTTCGTATTAACAGTAGCTTACGTCCATTTCTAGGGTCTAGACTATCAGTTTACTCATTTAAATCGGTTCAGTAGATTTGGTGTGAAAGCGCGACATACGGACAGAGTTCCTTTCGCATTTATTATATTAGTAAGGAAATGTGTTGGTACGATAATAGTCACAATGATCATGATGATAGTACCACTGTAACCATGTATTACGTTTTTTTCCGGTCAATAAACATATCCCGGTAAATCTCCCATGGTAACACTATTGCCGGAAATAATAATTTATCTGTGCACTAAATCGGTTATCGGAAGAACGAATAAATATGTCTGTCGAATATCATTGATCTGCTTAGTTGATAACGACTGCTGTCATACACTAACAGAAATGCACATTGACGAATGTCAAATCAAATAAATTATATTCCGATTTGTCATTATGATGTAATAATATATATATGTCACACATGGGTTGCCTGGTCAAATCAAAATGTGTCAAATGACATGACTAATAATTTTAATCATTAATAATGAAAAATCATTAAAGTACGAATATCTTAGCTTAAAAATCGTTATAAGTCGTATCATCATATAATTTTATTCTAAAACAAATCTGTCACATCAAAGGAGTCAATAGAAAAAGATTGCAATGGTCGCTGCAACCACATTAAACTTTTTATTACCGTCGCGGGCAATCAGATAGACATTCGATTACTAACACATAAAATGTAAAATAAATTGCCTTTTCTCGGAGGCAATTGTCACACTACGACGCACCTTACCACGTTTATTTGCGGTACAGTGCGGTGAATCCGTTCAAAAGTTTACATATATGTTTTTGCTTATTGTTATTATATGTGTGCTATGTATTATTTAATGCTAATGGAAAACTAATTGAAATTCGACCATTAATTTAGTTTCTAAGTTTGAATATTATTAAGGTTCTATTGTCAAAAACTAAACTTATATAATCTATCTTATACAACACGAGAAAAAGCACATAGGATCGTTTTAGATTAGGTTTTAAGGCTATTATATTATAAATATTAAAAATAATTGTCATAATTAATTATATTTTCACTCAATTTAAAAAGAAGATAACAACTTAAATGAAATTCAGAAACTATTCTTTTCCTTTTATTATAGTCCCAATGTAGATAGATGAATAAGATAGATAATATTTTTTATTTGTATCTTAGTAAACACATATAGGCTTATTTATAACATTACATGATATATTTCATATGTCAATATTTTTTTCAGACTACTATAGCTGTTGGCCACAGCTGGTCTTTACAGCTTCCCCGGAGTATACCAATGTCAATATTCGGTTTTGAAATTTAAAAAATCATAATTTCTACTCATTACTTATATTGCATTTGTATTTAGAACATTTATTTGTTAACAATTGGAGACGTGGCTGTGTGTCATACACTTTTGCCTTTCCTTGGGATAACGCATAAAAAAAATATTTACTGTTTTGTTTTTCGATTTTTAAATACTTTTTAAAGGATTTTGTAAAGCACGGAATAGTAGGTATGTAAAAATTGTAGCAACAAAAAGAAATCAGTAATTCAAATATTATGAGTAGAAAAGAGGATGGCTTTCTCATATTAAAATATCTCAATACATTATTATATTATCATAATATAATAACTTGATACGAACCTTGGCTGAGGCTGTGTTGTTTTCAACATTGCCAAAAGGACTATATTTTCCTCAAGAATGTATTAACACGTGAAATGAATATAAATTAGGGCTTCGAATAATTTTCTTGTAAATATGAAACACATCTAAGATATCTTTATCTTTAGTCTTGTAGTCTTTTATATTATTTTTTAACATTACCGTTCAGTTTAGGCTACTATATCAATTTAGAAGAATTGGCAAGAAATATATATAATGGTCATCTCTCAATAAAGTATCATTGCTTATATGTTTATGTTTGCAATATTAGTCTCTATCTTATATATATGACACTTATATTAACGACAACATAAACAGCATTAATATCACACGCCATCTAGTCCCGAGCTAAGCAGAGCTTATGTTGTGGACACTAGACTACTGCTAGAATACTTAAATACATTTTTTTTTGTAAATACATACATAATATATATAGAAAACACCCGGACCGATTCAAACTATGGTACTCATGAATACAAATGTTTATGGCATGCGACGAATCGAACCCGCGACTATCAGAAGGAAAGCGGTGTGATAAACCACTAGATCACTGAGTTATATATACTATAATAACTATTATTCTACTAAACATCCACAGCATATTCTATGAAAATTGCATCCGTCATCAGTCGTTGTTTACGTGAATTCTTAATACACAAGCAGACAAACAGTTGCAACATTTTACAATTTTATCATACGTAAAGAAATAAAGACTACTGTATTACAGTATGTAGCAGAAACGACAAATCCAATAATTGCAAAAGTGCGAAAGAAAGCTCATAAGGGATATCTTGGGTAGATTTTTTGTATAGACTATCAATCACTGTCCCCGAAACAAAGACACCTCCAGTATGAACTTTAATTTGATTGATTTCGTTCACGTAGAACAACTGGCAACCCTATCAAAATGTGTTCGCGATGAAGTTTTTAATTTAGCCAGCACGACTAGTGTGGCGAACTAAATATACCTCAAGTGGTACAAATTGTAACGTACAAGTTACTGTATGTACAATTACAACACTACAGTACGTAACTCAGACATTTTTAATGTTAGTGTACTTACGTTTTAGGGGTGAGATATGTCAGTGAAATTATGGAACCTTAGTCCTCAGACAATGCATGAGCGGTGTCACGGCTGCATGTTCATGTTTCCTTGGTGCTGTTTAAGCACAAAAAAATATTAGACACACTACTTCTTAGTCTACACGTCATCGTCACTAATTTTAACACTTATTTTTATGATTCTTTTTCGTGGACAATATTTATGTTTATCCTGTACTATTTTTATACAAAGCAGATTATATATATATAGTTCTCTCTGTAACATATATATACATACAGTTCGTAATTATTTTTTTGGTTTTTGTTTCAGGATTCCACTCGCTGGATAGCGCCAAAGAAAATATGGTGATGAGCCATAATTTACATAGGTCAGTATCCCCACATTCCATAATAAACACTTCAAAATCAAAGTAAAAACCGTTTACTTATGGTATATTTAATATTTTATAACTTTTCCCGTAAAGTACCAAAATAAACGATCCGTTTTCAATTGAATTATTATGATGATCCGTCACGGCTCTGTACTCTGTAATTTCATACCTCTTCAACGGAAACTCTTAGCGACACAGTATACCCTCGTAATAAATATAGATAGGACAGAGTGTACTCACGCCCTTTATACAAAACATAAAAATCGTAAATATTTTAAATTTCGAATTTCTGACCTAAAATCCTCAGATAAAGCCTGAAAACGGAAAGTTTTAAGGCCGAGTATTCATGGTGTGCATTAATCATGCCATGGACAGCGGACGTCTATTCGACTATTGTTCGATGAGTTTTTTAATAGCCATTTAAAGAACAAACAATGCATTTTGCATAAAACGGAACGGGAAACATTAATGAAAGTGAATTGGCGGGAAATTGTTATGTTAACAAAGTTTTGTTTTGTTTGCGACAGACAATCATCAAAAGTTAGTCACATTTTGCGAACACAATTGCTTCCGAAGTCCTAGTTTCTATCATAGACATAAAATAGAAATACATTTTATCTATGTTAGTGTTCATTCTGTTAAGATAATGTGATGGCTTTACATCTAAATAGGTATAGGTGCAGGTAAATCAGTAAAATAATAGGCGGTGAAAGTAGATTTAATAAAGTAAGTTTAAGATATACAGTACTCCATATTTTTTCAATTTATTAAATACACTATTGTATATGCGTTGTACTACATAAAATAAAATATTAGATAAGTATAGTCGCTTGGATTGATATGTTTATACACTTCGGTGCATATTGACGGACTGACCTACACATTTTTTTCTTAATTTAGCGTTGTTGTGACAAAGTACAAAAAAATGTTTGTGCAGCGAATATTATATAAAAGATAACGATTCATCAAGGAAAAACGTGATAAGAAAAATATAGGAGATATATTCTGAATTAGGTATTTAAACTAAAAAATATTATAACTTTAGAAAAGAGAGAAATTGGTGGTAATAATCTAAGTATTTTTAAACTAAGTTAAATCTTAATTTTCTGTTATGTAATAACATACAAAGGTTTTCTTACTGCATTTAATTATATTACGACTCTACAAAAACTAATCAAGAACAAATGGATAAACCAGTAGAAAATTGTCGAAAATTATAAATAAATCTTATTTAATAACGGTTTAGGTGAGTACAATGTACTGTATTTCCACCACTCGTGTTTCACACTCTTCCTGGTTTTATAATAGATACTAAGGTATTTTCTGGTTATTCATTCATTCATTCTTAATTTACGAGCCACGCTTTTGTGGAGCATTTACCACTTTCCACGATCTTCTATCATGTTCTTTAACTGTTGATACGACACGACTCCTATTTTGTCTTTAATTTGCTTGATGTAGCTGTGCCTTGGTTTTTCCCTCTTCCTTTCTCTTTCTATCTATTTTTCCCATAATAATAATTTTCATAAATTCATCGTGCCGTATCCAGTGGCCTAACATTTTCCCTCGTCTATTTTCTATAGTATACAATATCTGCCTTTTTTCTTTCACCCTGTGTAGTACTTCCTTATTTCTTATTTTATCTATCCAGCTAATTCTTTCCATCTCTCTCTAACACTAAATTTCAAAAGCTTCCAGTTTGTATCTTTCTTTTTGAGTTGATGTCCACGTTGCACACATTGTAAATGATATAGCTATACCCCAGATATAGGTAAGTCGATTCCGTGAGGTTTTTATATCTTAGCACTTAACTTAATAATTTTTAATTCATTATATTATTCTAATTTGGGAGCGGTCGGCATCTAAACAAAGTTCAAACATAATCACTGTAAAAGGCCAGCTGATATTACAGGCTGTGCTGTACACCGGGCTGCGCCGGCGCACGTGCGTTTCGCTTTGTTGATAAACCCAATGCAATCACTATTGTGTATAAACATAGTGATGTTGATCGAGACTATCGATAATATAAGTACCCAACCGAGGATTGATCTTACAAGTCACATACAATTTTATATTACAACTAGATGACCCGTCTGTGTAACATTTTACCCATTTTTACAATATTTTTTAGTGCAGTTCCGCTTGTAGTGGTCGTAGAGTGGATGTTATATAGCTTATAACTAACAAATAATTTCTATTGGTAAAATAATTTTCAAATTTGGTTCAGTAGATCTTGAGATTACTACTATTATTACTATAACCTCACAAACTTTTCCTCTTTGTAATATTATATATTGGTACAAGTTTAGCGGCGAAAAGATTATAACTAGAGAAACTTCTTGCGACATTATTTTTCATAGTGACATCTAGTAAGTTTAATTATTCGTCACAGTAATTTAACAAGTAAATATTTTTTTGACTTAATAACTTTGACTTGTCATGAAAACGTATGAGTGGATTCAGTTAGTATTTATTTGTCATTAATTATGGGTATATCAAATAAGAGATTAAAAACAACTTTCATTCATCATTTTAGCCCCTGATTGTTATTTATTTCTTTTTTAAATACAATAACATATAATAATAATATATATAAGCTTCCTCGTGATACAATCTACATTCTTATCAATTAAGTTCCGATCAGCCGTTTAGTCCGGAAAAGGCACCAAACAGGCAGATAGACAGACACTTTCGCAATAATATAGATATAAAATTATGGACATTAGTTAACATGTAAAAGTGAGTTTATTTGTTATAACTTGGCGCCTTAATGACTCAAGTAAATCACAAGTGGTGCAATGTAGACTGTGGTATATAGAGTCCATTAAGAAAACAAGTTTAATCCACTCGTAGTTATCGATATCGATATTTTGTCTTCCAACTTCCTGCTACTGTCACAGTTATGCGTGACTGTATACTGACGCATACATCTAGCTAGCGTATTGTATTAACACTTTATTAAATGATTTCCTGTGTTTGCATAAGGGCTTATTACCCCTGATGATGTTGCTAGCCGCAGGAAGTATATATTATTAATGTAATCGCGAACAGTGCCATATTCGTAATGATTAAGAAATACCTATAATAACAATTATATGAAGAAGTTCCACCAGATCTAGAATTTATTCAAAGTCGTCAATGTACCTCGGTCTCACCTATCAGAGATTTCTAAGCTATGTTTTAGTTAGAGGGTGATATATGGCGATGAAAGTACAAAACAAGGAGGCGTGACTTCTTAGTGTTACATTAAAAAGTTGTATTTATAGAAGAGATGAATAAAAAAGAGAGTCTACTTATTTTACAACCCATCAACTCAATATACATTTCGTGACAGGTCTCTATAATTACATGGTCATAAAGTACAGTTTACATATTCTGTAGTCACACAGTTTATTATAATAGGTGTAGATGTGTTTAGCCAACTGCTATTTTCACTTCACGCAACATGTAGGTCGTGCCTACTGTATACCTAGACTAATGTTAGGTACAATTTCTGTCCCAATTTTGCTCCAATCTCCCACCCACGAAGAACATGAACCAATCAATACGGAACCAGCACAACGCCCTTATTCGTATTAGATATAGAACGTTTATAAATAACACAAGGTTCAGAATTCACTGGGCACTTGAACCTGCAGTGCGCTTGCATCTTTTATGGCAAAATATTCAAATATTAACCTTTCAGTTATGAAATTATATGGCCCATAATGATATAAATGATACACCAGCGTTCCAGGCTTCGTATCGATACTATTGTGGTAGATTCACTGATTATATTACCAGTACACTATGGTAACAAAAATATTAGGACAGTTATATAATATCTACTAATAATTGTTTGTATTAAATAGATATATTATAGTTATTTAAATACAATTATTATAATTAATTACCTATAAAATTATGAAATTTAAATACATTTTTGTTTATACAAATTTCACTTTTAAAGAGTCATCGTCGTAATATACGAGTAAGTATAATATTATGATTGTTAAATATAATTATGCAAATTATAAGTTGTTCACACATGGGATATTCTGCGGTAATATTACTGCAACCATTAGCATAGTTACGTAATGTTACACTAATTAAATCATAATCCTTAATACACGATAATTAACAAGTAATGATTTTTTGTCTTCCTCTGTTTATTCAGTCACGCAATGAAATTATGTGAAGTTATTTTGAAATGAAAGTGGTGAATATACAGATGGCTATGTAGTCGTTGAAGGTAGTCCTGAAATTCAGTCTATTCGATAGACAGATATAAAATTAAATATTAAAATATCTAGTACTATTACTATAATACTACATATTTTGTGCTATTTTAGAATACCATCACGTCACCGTTTTGACCCCAGTATATCGGAATAATAGGTGTCAGAGTATGTAAAATAGAAATAAATTCAATATATAGACGCATAAATATCAACCCTGGCTAGCGTAATAGAGGTAAGTTCTCATCCTATGTGGGAAGATCTTGATATAACTTTGTAATAGATATTATATTATCTGTGGTAATAGTAACTGGTTACTATTACAAATACAACAAAAAATACTTAGAATTAGATTATATCGTTGTCTTGATATTGGATCTCTTGTTTATTCATTAGTAAGTAAAAATAAAATTAGGGTAGAAGGCATAATATCTAATAGAATTAATTCTAAGAAATAGCAACGTTATTCTACGGATGTCACAATTGTGACTATGTATGTATTGTGAATGGGTACACCATTAGAGAAACTCCCTTTTTCATCAAAACTTTATAAAAAAGAATATCTGTTAATTTTAATGGTCGCATAAGTCTCTCGTATCGTTTAAAATTTTCCTACTATATTTAGCTAACCTCATCTTTATTAAGTTAAATCAACAAATTGATTGAAGATGAATGGCTGGTATTTTATTTGTAAATATAACATATTTATGAGAGCATAGTGTATATGATATATACCGGCTGTCGCCAGTGGGTAAATAGTCATATCCACATAAATATCTT